TCCTTTAAAGTTTTAATAACACGACGTACCATTATTGTTAATGTCATTTATGGTATTCTTTTCCTGGRCTGAAAATGTTTAATTTTAAATCAAATTGAGTATTTATAAAATATTTTTTATATAAAATAGTATATTGATTGAAAATTGCGGGATGTGGAGTGTTTAAGTCAATATATATTAGTACTGTTTTTTTTAGCCTTCTGTGTTGTGTGATCAACAGCTCTATGGCGCACTCCCCCAGCAAAAAATTGTCGAGTGTTTTTGTTGAGTTAAACATTTAATTTTATAATAAAGTTAATCGTATAACATACGTATACTTTTTTTGATTATTAGTTTACCAAATTTACATATTCCTTTAAAGTTTTAATAACACGACGTACTATTATTGTTAGTCTCATTTATGGTATTATTCTTCAGGGCTGAAAATGTTTAATTTTAAATAAAATTGAGTATATATAAAATATTTATTAACGGGATGTGTGGTGTTTCAGTCAATATATATATTAGTACCTACTGTATTTTAGCCATCTGTGTTGTGTGTACTACAGCTCTATGGCGCACTCCCCCAGGGAAAAATTATTGACTGTTTCTGATTAGTGAAACATTTAGTTTTATAATAAACTTAATCGTATAATAAATGTGTGGAATTTTTGATTATTAGTTAACGCAATTTAGATAATCCTTTAAAGTTTTAGTGACAACGTACCTTTTTGAATCATATAAAATGAATCTCTGACCAGGGCTGAAAATTTTATATTTTAAATGAAATTGCGTATTTATAAAATATGTTATACATAAAATAGAAAATCGATTGAAAATTTCAGCATGTGGGGTGTTTCAGTCAATATATTATATTAGTATTGTTTTTATCAATAGCTCTATAACGAACTCCCCCAGGAAAAAATTATTGACTGTTTTTGATTAGTTAAACATTTAGTTTTATAATAAACTTAATAATATAATAAAGTGTGCATTTATTGATTATTAGTTTACAAAATTCAATTAATCATTTAAAGTTTTAGTGACATGACGTACCATCTTTAATCTTCATTAAAGTCTCCTGTAAGAGTACTGAAAATGTTTAATTTTAAATGAAATTGAGTATTTATAAAATATTTTTGATATAATATAGTATATTGATTGAAAAACGCAGGATGTGGAGTGATTAAGTCAATATATATAAGTGCTGTTTTTTCGCCATCTGTGTTGTGTGATCAAAAGCTCTATGGCGCACTTCCCCAGAAAAAAATTGTCGACTGTATTTGATGAGTTAAACATTTAGTTTTATAATAAACTTAATCGTATAAAATACGTATACTTTTTTTGATTATTAGTTTACCAAATTTACATATTCCTTTAAAGTTTTAATAACACGACGTACTATTATTGTAGTTAGTCTCATTTATGGTATTATTCTTCAGGGCTGAAAATGTTAAATTTTAAATAAAATTGAGTATTTATAAAATATTTTTGATATAATATAGTATATTGATTGAAAAACGCAGGATGTGGAGTGTTTAAGTCAATATATATAAGTGCTGTTTTTTCGCCATCTGTGTTGTGTGATCAAAAGCTCTATGACGCACTTCCCCAGCAAAAAATTGTTTACTGTTTTGGGCTAGTCAAACATTTAGTTTTATAATAAACTTAATCGTRTAATATTCGAGTGCTTTTTTTGATTATTATTTTACCAAGTTTACATTTTACTTTAAAGTTTTAGTAACATGACGTACCATTTCCAATCGTCTCTAAGGTAACCTTGTAAATGGCTGAAAACGTTAAATTTTAAATGAATTTGAGTATTTATAAAATATGTTATATGTATATAACAAAGAATATTGATTGAAAATTTCKGGATGTGAGGTGTTTCTGTCAATATA